TACAGGGTTTAGGGGTTAAGGCTTCAACGTTCTGGGCTTAGGGTACAGGGTTGAGGGATTAACGGTTAAGGTTTTCGGTTCAGGGTTTAGGGACTTAGGGTTTGAGGTTTTGGGGTTTAAATACAGCCATAGCTATATCCTGCAGCACAGCGACCAAGGCGGTTCAATGTAGTCATAGAATATTGAGCAAAAGGTTCAGATGCCCTGACAGACTCTGGAGGTGGCCTCACGACACTGGCAAGTGTCCTGTGCAACAGGAAACCGGCAAAGGTTGTGCCCTATTGAATGGATACTTCCAGGGAAGCACTTTGAAGCCATTCTTGCCCAAGACCGTGCTTGAATGCATATACGAGGTGCATGTCTGCATGTGCATTATTTAGTTGCACACATACACACATATACAGTTGCCTGTCGTCGTAGAAACGTTCACGCATGCATTGATGTGTGCAATGTTGAATTACATCATAGAGCACCTCAGATCTTGGATGTCCAGATATGGTAACACACCTCCATATACTGTAGCACAATGCCGAACGCAAACAAAAGAACTAATTACCATATACATATATGTATATACATATATATATATATATATATATATATATACATACAAATCTGTGTACCACAATGTAGAAACAGCTGTAGACAAAGCTGTTCCGTGCAACGACACATGATGAAGATGCGAGTATTTGTGGATCCCGGCATTCCGCATATGTATCTTTCGAATCTAGCCCTTCAACTCACAAGTCCGAAACAGTTCCGAGGTGACGCGTATCTGCGCCCGGGCGGCGCTGTCGGAACAGCGGTTGGCAGAGATGTTCGACGAGAAGAGGTGCATTGACTTTACGTTGTCGTGCTTGGGGCTTAAGGGTGGGGTTTTGGGTTCAGAACGCTGATGCCTTAAATTATATATCCCCTTGATTATAAGGAATATACATTAAATGATAGTAGGATCTCTAATATGATTTAAGGTATCTTCCTTAATTGAGGGATAGTAGAATCACCTCATCCCTATAGATCCCTTGAAGGAACCCTATAGATCCCTTCAAGGAACCCTAAGGTATATTCCTTAATAAAGGATATTGGAGTCTCTGGGTGCCGAGGCGCAGCCAGGAACTCCGTGAGGAGCAAGAAGCCCGGAGCTGAGCCGAACTTGGGGGCTCAAGGGTCTTGCTTGGAGGTTCATGGGGAGTTATAAGTAGGGTTATAAGTCCCCTAATATGGGTTATAAGTACAGTTACCCTACTTGTAATCCTACTTATAGCTAGCTTACCCAGACGCCCGGGGAGGATCTAGAAAGTAGATCCCCTAATTCTTAATTTGGGGCCCTATACTACTAAGGGTACTTTAAACTTGGGGGGTCGGGGGACCTAGTAAGTAGTTAGTAAGTAGACTTACAAGTACCCTAAAAGGGACCCTAATTGGGGTTACGGTACTTCCAAGTCCCTAAAATAACCAGTTTCTAAGTCCCCCGACCCTCCAAGTACCCAGACCCCCGGGAGGATCTGGAAAGTAAATCCCCTAACTTGGGGCCCTATACTACTAAGGGTACTTTATAGGAACCTCCATTGAGGGATCCACTTTTTGGATCCTCCCGGGGGTCTGGGTAGGTAACTTTTAACCTTTCTTCGGTAGAAAAATCCCTATGTAATCCCTATATAACCAAAAAAGGTTAACCTTTAGTTCCCCATGATACCCGACAAGTAGGTCTTGCTTTGGAACGGGTGAGGGGAGGGGGGGTTAGGGTTCAAAGAGGGGGGGGGCTTGGGGTTTGGGCTGGGGTGTTTGGGATTTGGGATTGTTGGTGGGGTTACGGTAGGTTTCGGGGGGTCTTTTGGGAGTTTTGGAGGTTTCGGAGTTCAAAGCGTAATCGACTTCTCGAGTTTCGGATGTATGAATTGGGCTTTAGTTGTGCAGTGTAGGACTTAAAATCCTACACGGAAAAACTCTCAGGATTAGCGAGTTCAGGACTCCGGATGTAGAGAAGGTCTTTGTGTTTCATGGCCAAACAGGATACACAAGGTGCATGGCCCCAGGTGCTAGTGGCGAACATCAGCAAAATCCTCTATTCTCTAGAGATCAACTTACAGCATCTGCATCCCAATGCAAGGAGCAGCCGCCGTAATTGGCGCCCTCCGCGCTACCGTAAGGTCGAACTCATCAAAGCAAGTGTGCCTAAGCCTGCTTCGCAAATTTTCGTGAGCTTTCAGACACAAGCCGACGCCTTGGCCAAAAGCTGCATCATCTTAAGCGTAATTCACCATATTCCCAAAAGCTCCATGTACCTTTATGGTAAAGGGGTCCCTTTTTAGGTACTTCAAGGCCTAAGTATACACTATATGGGGACATGGAGTCTTAGGGATTCTGCAAGAGGCCTTCACTATATAGATATATATATATATATATATACATACACATATATTCGCGTAATAACGTCAACTAAACCCGATAACACCCGCTTACACTCCGAGTTTACAACCTTCCTAAACCCCGAACCAGTCTGTTTCAGACCCTGCTTGTGGAAATTTATGCTTTATACCCTGCAAACCCTAAGCCCTACACCCTGTAAACCCTAAACCCTCTAAACCTTAAGCTTCATACCCTGCAAACCCTAAGCCCTGCGCCCTGTAAACCCTAAACCCTTTAAGCCCGAAGCCCTGCAAGCCCTAAGCCCTAAACACTCTGGGTGATACTACTGATCCTTCATGGTCTCCCGTCGTTATGGGCCTCTGTAGCAGGGGAAGAGGTGCTTAATAGCAAGCACACTGAAACCCTAAACACCACACCCTATAAACCTAAACCCCGAACCCCAAGCCCCAAACCCTGTTAACCCCAAACCCTAAACCCTATAGACCCCAAACCCTATACCCTAGCTACACCCCAAACCCTTATAAACCCTCCACCAAACCCTAAACCTTAATTGAACCCAAACCCTAAGCCCCAAACCCTAAACCCCAATTAAATTCCAAATTCTAAACCCTAAGCCTTATAAACCCCCAACCCTTATAAACGCCTAAACCAAAGCCTAAACCCTTATAAACCCTAAACCAAAGCCCTTATAAGCCCTAAACCTGAACCAAATGCCCGAGTTTCACCCAAAGGCTCCATGTACCCATCTAGTAGATACTTAGGCCTGAAAGTACCTATATAGGGGCCCCTTTAAGGCCTAAGTACCTACTATATGGGCGCATGGAGCCTTTGGGCAGGTAGCGGAAAGTCGCGCCCTGGCGAAGGGTCGGGCTTCTCTGGTCGCTACGAAGCAGGCGCTGCTCTCTGCGTTGGTCGGGGGCTTTTCGGGGTTTAGGGTTCAGGGGTTTAGGGTCAGACTATATGGGTTTTTAGGGTTTGGGTTTGTAGGGTTATTCTGACGGTTGGGGCCCAAAGGGTTTAGAGGGTTTGGGGTTTAGACTTTATAGGGGTTAGGGTTCAAGCTTTATGGTCAGAGTCTAGGGTTGGGGTTCAAGGTTTAGGGCTAGAAGCGCCGACTGGGGGTTCCAAGGTGTTCAGTTCAGGGGCCTTGTAACACTATGTACGGCTCCCTAGATCCTTTGTCCCTGGTGTTTTACTGTGCTTTGTAGGGCAGGAATTAATCAGGGGTTGATTTGCGCGCAAAAGGTTTAGGTTGCCTTTTGTGCCGACTTAGGGTCTCGGATGTTGCGATTTGTGGTTTCAGCCTCTAAAGGTCTAGGGTTTAGTATTCGGGGTTTCGGGACCCCGACAAAGTACATGGGACTCAGTGTCCCGTAGATACAGTAGAAGTCCGCTATGGCACATAAAGTCATGAAAACCTATAACCCTAGGGATCAAACTAGCACAGAAGCCTTATATAGTATGGTCTTTGGGCCCAAAAGCCTTAATATATGAGTCCTCAGATCCCTAGGGTAAATCCAGCCGCTTCAGAGTTCTGAGTTTGTTTGGTTCCCCTTGGTGCCCGTCGGTACTTCCGGCTTCCTTCTTGCATCGGTGCTTTGCAACCGTCAGGCTTGTGTTGTTGTCTTCGCACTCCTTGCAGATCAGATCGATGTCTGCTTTGGTCCAACCGGGAGGAGGAGATTCGCACTTTCAGGGAAGGGTTGTGTCCCAAAAAAGAACTATTATGGGGCCTATGATGGCCCAAGGGTTCACAACAGCTTGTCTTTTCACTGGGCGATCGCATGCCTACTTGCCTTTGCAACCCTGAGTCCTTTTCTCGGAACATCCCACATTCCACCACAAGGGTTTCACCCCAACTGCCAAGCTCGCTCGTTAGATCTCTGGGTGCAGAAATTAGCTTGGTGAGGCCTCCCCTCCTGAGCAAAAGCGGCATCGTTGCTTTAAGGACGGGATGAGCCCCAACGAGGTATATGGTTCTATCCCATACGGGGTGTCTAGTGTGGATCGTAAGGTGTACGAGCCTATGCTTCCTAGGCATCAGTTCGTCGCCAAGGTTCTTCTGGCTCTGAGGCAGCGGCAGTGAAACCTGCTCGCATGCAGCCCCACAGCAGAACGGGCCCACGCTTAAACCATGCACCCAAAAGCCTGAACCCTAAGCCCACAAGCCTTATGATCCGTCGACCCTATATACTTCTATAACGAGGCCCTCAATTTGAGTACATTTTTGGTACCAACATGGGCACCTAAATTCATGACAGCCCCTGGAGGAGTCGGTCTGTGCCTGGCTTCGGGAAGGACTGAGACCCTTCACGCAAGCATCCTAAGACCGAACCCTGACTAACACAAAGGGTCCTAGGTACTGTTATGGCGAAGACTTCCCCAAATCATAATAGTAAGTCCTAACGTAGAAACCCGACATTCTACTACCAAGGTACTTCGCACCCTTCGCGTAATAGGATCCGTTATATATACGGAAACCGAATTCAATGCGATATCCCTATGTTCATGAGTTGCGGGCAGTCTTGCGGTCACCGACAACCCGTCCATAGCCTCCGGCACTCAGCCTCGCACCTCCGCCGGACACCCAAGATGAACAGCTAGCAGCTTGAAGCGATCCGCGCCTAACCATGCGCTGCCGCCGGTGGAGACTATGCTTGCTAATTCTCCCGGCGCTTTGGATTAAGGCGGGCTTTGGGTTTTTGGAGCATCGGTCTCGGTTGAGAATACATGACCCATAGGCCCCATAGTAGTTCCTTTTGGGGATTACCTTACTTGGGGGGTCAGGGGACTTAGTAAGCAGACTTAAAAGTACCCTAAAAGGGACCCTAATTGGGGTTATGGTACTTATAAGTCCTTAAAATAACTGGTTACTAAGTCCCTCGACCCTCCAAGTATGGAATTCTGAATATGAACCCCCGAAAAGGAACTACTATGGTACACAGAAATGTAGGAACCGAGCGACCTGGCGGCCGGGTTTAGACCCGGCTTGGGGTCTATATGGGAGTTTCCGTTTTTGTTTTTTTAATTGGGGGGGGGGGGGGGGGCTTATAATAATAATGAGGATCCTATTATGTAGGGTACTAAATTAGGGCTCCCCATTTTCGAAAATTCCCATATTGACGTGCCCTGAGAATAAGATAGCGGTCCTACTATTTAGGGTTCTACGCTTGTTAGGGCCCCTTGCTCGTCGTGAGAGTTTAGCTTTATTACACGGTCTACTTTCAGCATGCCAGCGCGCCGGATCTCTTTGGTTCCCAATTCCATACTTGGAGGGTCGGGGGACTTAGTAGCTGGTTATTTTAGGGACTTAATAAGTACCATAACCCCAATTAGGGTCCCTGTTAGGGTACTTATAAGTCTACTTACTAACTACTTACTAAGTCCCCCGACCCCCCAAGTAAGCTTTCATGTCGTCTGCTACGTATTGTCATTAGTGTTGTTTTTCGTTGTTACTACTGTTTTTTGCTAAGCTTACTTGTTCGGTTGTATTCATTATATTGGCTATTGTTATTTGAAACTACCATGTTTGCTATAATATGGTTATGAGCATTGTTTTCAATATTGGCTTTGTGTTGGTTGTTTATGTTTACCATTAACATTGGTACTAGTTTTTGAAGTGCTACGGATGTGTTTTTGTTGGCTGCTTTTTCCTGTCACGATTGCGACCATATCCGTATCCATTATTGTCATTCGTATGTGGTTTTGCTGCTGACGGTTGCGGGCATTACTGCATCGGCAACGACAACAACAATTACGGTTGCTGCTACCAGCACCACCACCACCACGACTACCACTTGTTCTCATTTTATCTTACCATGCTCCACTAGGATTACCGTCGTTACCATTCTGACAATTATCAATGATATTGCTGGCATTAATGTCTCTGTCAATGAGCGTTCACGCAAAAGAACCACAGCCTAAATTTCATACTCTTGAACCCTTGTACATCGCAGATAAGCAGAGCCGTGATGCTTCGAAGTCGTATGCTAAAGTCGGAGGGTCCTGGCATGCACGCAGCTTAGCAATTGGCAGCTTCCTCATGTAAACCCTATCAAACCCTGAAGCATACACCCTGAACACCCTGAACCGTGGAAGCTAGAAACCGCGAAACCCCAATAGCAATGCGCCCAAGAAGCCGTATGAACGCTCGAAGAAGCCCGAAGCCCTACAAGCCTGTGATTTAGTTTCGGCACGTCCAAGATGTGGCCCAGCTGCCGGAACCTGGTTGTACACCGTCAACCCTGGAAGGGTGTCCGTATTTAGGAGGAAACCCTAATCCCAAAGCCTAATCCCTAAACCCTAATCCCTAACCCCAAAACCCTAATCCATAAACGATTGAAGTAAAGTTGTGACGCTACCCTAAGGGTCCATGTACCCAAATAGGATATACTTTGACCTTAAAGTAGTCCCTATATAGGTACTTTGGGGTCAAACTTTATACAATTTAGGTACATGGACCCTTAGGGTTATGTTTTCTCATGGTTTCGGGGCGTGGGAGGTGAAGTTTGGCAACTTGTGTCTTGTTTAGGGCTCCAAGAAGTAAGGGGTAAAGCTTCACTAAGTTCCTCAGGAATAGCCAGGAGGACTTCGAATTTCAAACGCAGGTATACTTATGCAGGCTAAGATCCGGGGTTTAGAAGTTTAGGGGTGCACATTGTTTCATTTCAATCCAGCAGGGCTGGTCTTTTTGCTCTACTTTCGATCGAAAGACGATAGTTGCAGGCACTTGTTCGCATGGGAGTTTCAACAGATAAGGGACCCTACAGTGGACCCCTCATAGTAGGATCCGTGTTTTAAGTACCCCATGAAGAGGACTCCTGCTGGACCCCACCCAACTCTCAGAGCGCAAACCTCGAAGTTTGCCGATACCACTACATCCCAAAGGAGCCGTGTCTTCGAACATCCTTGAGTGAAGGATCTCTTGACCACGCTTCAGATCACCGTATGAACGGCCTGAAGTTTCACATGGTACTACTGGCGATTATCGGCGATGGCTTGCGGCAACCATGAATAGACAAAGGGTTCCTTTGTTTGAGCGGTGTTCTGGTATAGGCCAAGCACCAAGAAATTGACGCTACGACTCGTGACAAAGATCCATATACTACCAAACTGCGACGCCAAACCTCGGAATCCTGCGACAAAAAATTGAAGCAATAAGCTTGGCACTTCAAGCTCGTGGACGGTGCGGCATGCTGCTATTGCAGTCTTGTGTGTCTTAAACTCCCGGCGCCGTCTACGATAGTCTTGCTGCGACGTCGCCACATTTCTGTCGAATATACATACATACATACATACATACATACATATATATATATATACACATACGGACCACATGCCGGTTTAAGACACTCTCGGCGTCTAAGACCCCGCTTATCGCTCTTGGACAAAGCCCGGACCGCCATGTTGTAAACCAGATTCCCGGAGCCAGTAACCATTCAGTTGGGTCGTTTTGCCTAATCCCGTGCTCGCGAGGGCTGACACGTTTGGCAAACGGCTTGCAGCCAGCCCATGCAGGGCATGTAACACGAAAACTGTGGTTGTGTTTGATCATGTCTATATGTGGTGTCACTCTGAAAACCTTTCCTGGCGGGAAGGTGTCGTACTGCCCAAACCCCAAACATGATGGCCATCGTCACCGCTGGTGCACGGCCAGCAAGATTTGTTTGTTTCAGCTGTGCAGAGCTCTAATGCATCCTCTGTAAACAACTGAGCAGTATTGGGTTGTCTGGGTTCGCATCGCGAAGATGTGGCAGATCTGGCAGATGCCACCGCTGCAGGTGTGTCGGCACAGGGCGTTTGCCCTGACTCCGCACAAAGCAGCCGCGCCAGGTTGGCGAAGGGTTTACATACTGCGGCATGCAAGTGCTATGGGCACTTCAAAGTTACAGAAAGTAGCTATAACTTATATAACCTTTATCATTTTGGAGGGGTTGAAACGGGAATGAACCAAAAGAGCAGCTGTGGTCGATAAACAGATAGATAGACGGGGTTAGATAGGATCAGGTATGTATACTAGTAGTAATATTCCGTTATGTAGTATGTTGGTATGTATAAGATGTTTCGTCGTGCTGTGTGCACATGAAGCGTAGGTCACGCGCATTGTGACCCATGCGTACATACTGAGACACATAGAGAGTGAGAAGGACAACACACACAGCCGGACAGCCAAGACAGAGACACACAGAGGCGGCAGAGAGAGAGAACGAGACGGAGCCGGAGAGACAGCCGGGGGGAAGGGAGGGTTTAGGGTTTAGGGTTGGGACAAATTTGGCATCAGCGATCCAAAATCTTGCTTGAAGGAAGCGGCACATATGCTGGCCAAAGTCTTAAAGCCGGCGATGCTGCCTGGGAGGCGCTGCACTTTCTGGTTAGTAAGCCGAAAGGCTTGCAGGCATGTGCCGTGCGCTCTCCCTTGCATGCTGTACTTGTAGCATGTACCTGAACTAATGCTAGCGCCTGGACGAGCCGTCACAGACTGTCCAATGCCAGTCTCGCTTGGGGCTTGAAAGACCCTGAGGGTGCCATGACAATTTAAGTGGTGTGAGATGCGCGGTTGTGCAGGCCCTGGGGTTGTTTCTGCGGGGCTCGAGAGGCGTCTATGTGGTGCAAGATCCCGGTTGCATCAGAATAAACTACGACACATGGCGACAGCAACCTCTGCGCACTGTTTCTTGCAGAATGGGTGTAGTCTGTCGAGACTTGAAATTCTCCAGTTGTAAGCTGTCTTGACCCGAAATTCTACACCACACTTCTAAAACGACTGCCACGCTTAGAGTCGGACAGAGTCGCAAAATACTCAGGAATTTGTGGCTGTTTGAGTGTATGCTGCAATGGGATCCGTCTTTCATTTCTGCTGTGAACTGTAGGCCATCAACCGTCTAGTAGGTTAGACCACTGCGCTTGTCGTAAGATACGTACCTTGAGAATAATATTGGCACTATCAGCAATCATAAACGCTCTGAATGGTCTCGGTACTACAGCAGCCTGAATAATGGCCGATATCGTTAGTTAGGGTTCCTCGCTACATTCATAGTATACTATACCCCCCGAACCCTGTTCTCATTACTATAAAGGCCCCCAGATTATCCTGTCAGGGCTTGCAGCTCAACCTCACCACTGACCGGGTCTTCTCGCAGCCTCCCGACTTGAAATCGAAGAGAATGAAGTGCTATGAGGGGTTGAATTATTATCAATACTGTTTTGGGGTTCTTGATCATAGTTATAGTAGTATACCCCTGAACCCGCTTGTTTCGATGATCAGTGCACAGTGGTCCCGGATATTATGTTTAAGAGCTAATTTCCAAAGGGATAAGGCAGGTGAGGCACAAGCCCGCTGGTTTCGTTTGCCCGAACAGACTTCTTGTCCGATCACACTCCAGAACCCTATTCTAATTATTGAGGCCCGTACAGTATTATGATTCAGGTTTCAGGGTTCAGGATTTAAACGTGGGCTATGTACGGAAAGTGCGAGTTTTGCATATCAAGATATTTGGAAGCAGCGGTTTGAGGGAAGTCCCTCCTAGGTTTCGAGCGCCTTGCCCACTGCAGGGCGCAGTGTCTGAGTTTGAGTTCAGTGTTCTAAATCTAGAATTCAGGGCTCACCTCGCAAGCATGGGCGCTACCCATAGGCTCCATAGTAATTCCTTTTGGGGATTGCCTTCTAGAAGTGCAAATATGAACCCTAAAAGGAACTACTTCGCGACCTTAAGGCCGCAAAGCACTTCTGGAAGCAGAAATCTGGTCACCGGGGCTTGGGGAGCTTTGTAAAAAGTGCACGTAGGACTCAGCCAGGGGCCCTTCAATATGAAGGCAGACCAAGACAGAACAATCATCGAAGCACCGCCATTACTCCCGAACTTAAACCCCCTAGACCTTAAACCCCAAACACTAAACCTGAAACCCCTTAAAGCTCAAATCTCCGGGATCTATTCATATACTCTCCAAAATCCTAGCCTGCATAGCTACTATCCCAAAATTAAAACCGAGTACCTACTTGTTGGGTCCTTCGGGCCCTTGGGGCCTAAACCCTAAAACCCTAAACCCTAAAAGCCCTAAACCATAAAACCCTAAACCCTAAATCCCTAAAACCCTGAAGCCCCAAAAACCCTAAAACCCTAAACCCTAAAGCCTACGTTGCCTGTCGGGATTTCCCAGGCGCGACTTGCAGAGGGAAGTTGAAGACTCGATGGCCTCAAGGTGTTTGGAGCTTTCGGGGTTTGGGATTTGGGATTTCGGGTTTAGGGTTTAGAGTTTAGGGTTTTCAGGGTTTAAGGTTTAGGGTTTCGGGGGGGCTTTCGGGGTTTGCGACGTGTAAACAGTAGCAAAAAATGATACTGAATGCATCACATGCAAAGGGGCTGGGCGCTTTGACATCCCGGTTGAGGGCTTTTCTGCCGGGCTCTTCAATTCCTAAGGCTCCTGGGTTGAAGTGGGGAACCTAAGAAACCATCCCTACAACCAGGCAGTATCGGCTGAGTCGAGGGGGTTCCTCAGATGCAGTGTGACACCATGTGCCTGCCAGGGTGGTCAGGACATGCCCAAACACAGTGCGTGTTTGTTTGTACATCGCAGTCTCCTCCGTGCATGCGATTCTGCACGTGCATACCCATGCATGTGTCAGTGGTTTTGCGTACACAGGCTGTAGCAACCATTAGTAACATTAACTTTGTAGTGCTCCATACCTGGAGGCAGTCTGCACATGTGAAGCACCCTAGGCCACCAATTTCCCGTTTGTTCTACGTCATCGAGTCATACAGCACTGTTGCAGCAACCCTTTATCTTAGCGACCTTCATCGTGTGACAGACCATTGCAAGGCTTTCGCATGACAGTCCATATGCATACGCTATACATGGATACTTACTTACTCTGCGCATTTTCGACTTTGTGTGAGGAATCTTAAGCTTGCCAGGCTTCTCGCAAGGGACGCCTTTGACCGCGTGATGGTGACCGTGCACGGAAACTTGGCTGGTTAGGAGATGTTGACAGTTACGCAAAGCCCCCGGCACACACCTATCCACCACACAATTCCGCCGGGCATGTCTTAACTTTCTTCGGCAGGTGGATAAGAAGAGTGAGTGGGCCTGGTTGGGGTTCGTTCTTTCATTACACTTTGTCTGCATGGGTGTTTTTGTTGCGGCACTTTTGTCAAGACTTCCTCAAGGGATGTTCGTAGCATGTTCCTGTAGTAGTAGCAGATGTCCTTGGCCGCAATACTGTACCACATGCGTTGGCTGCCGATTAAGAGCGCGCGTGAAAGCAGGGGCACTGCCAGGGTGGAAGTGGACTGGGGCGACGCTTGGGGTGAAAAAGCAACCGCTGTGGAAAAAGGCCATGCAGTTTGCCACTGCAAGGTTCCGGAAGCCTTTAATCGCCACGGTTGTTGTCATGTTCTCCCGCTTCTGGACCTTGTGGTATGCCAGATGGTTTAGTCCCCGATTTGCCCTAGCAAGAGCAGCGTGGTCTGCTGGAAAGTGCTTGAGGAGTCGTGAGGTCGTTACATCAAGGCCACGTGAAGAAGCTTTCGTGTCAGATTTCATCAACTTGCCAGGTCCTTTCCTGCGTCAAGTCCCTTCTTGTCAAGTAGTCAGTGGCTCACAGGGAATCGGAAAATCCACAATGTTTTCAAAATTGGTTTTGGGATCCTGGCAAGGTGCTTTGTGGAAGAGGGGCAAATGGGTTCTGCCAATCGAGGCAGATTTGCAACCGAATGAGAAGCTCGAGCTCATTGCTATGCTGATACAGCCTTGAGTATCCAGAAGCTGCCAGACAACTATCCCTCCACAGACCAAAAGTTGCTAGAGCAACTGAATGAATGGAGCATCGCATGGACAGGCGGGCCTGTGATCATTTACCTGCAGCTCACCAACAAAAACCGCGCGGATCAGTTCAGCTGCGACGAGTGTGACGCCATCACTTCCACGGTGGGTGCATTCGCACGGCGTCTCACCTGCGCCGATGCTTCTTGCAAGAATTCATCATGAAGGTCAGCGTGTCCCTCATAGCAGACAAAATCCAGAGCAAGTTCAACGTGTTCGAACTTTTAGGCGTGCACAGCAGTAGGTGTTATCCGAAGGATGACCAGCATTGGCATTTTGCCTTTAAGGTTCTGGGTGAGAGCGAGCAGAGCATGAAGGATTTTGGATACATGTAAAAAAGTCTCACAGTTGGCTCCGCTGCTTGGACAGTTGCGGCGGCATGTTTGTGCACACAAGCAGTCACCGCTTCCGGTAGCCAGAAAAACATACCGTTGCCGTGAGCTGCTGCACCCGTTCCATCTTCAAGCACAACCTCCCAACCCTAAACCCTAAAATTATACGAGAAGACCAACCCCATTCTCAAGGTTTAGGGGTTTGGGGTTGAAGTGCAGGGAGGTTTCTATAGGGGTGCGTGTTGTGGGCGTGGGGAAAATTGGGTGGTGTTCTAGTGGAGTCTGCAGCGGCTCTACTGAATGGGATTTTTGTAAGTTGGGGTCTTTCAGTGGAGTTGTGGTGGGTCTGATTCGAAAATGGTAATGGTATTGAGAAGTCATATAGGTATAGTGTAGTCATAACCACTTAATTTCGTAGGTTATAATTACACTATGTCTTTACTATTCTTAAACCTCATTCCTTTTAATGATATTTTATTAGAGAACAGCATTTCCATTTGCAAGGGTTAGGGATTTGGGGTTGGGGGATATGGGTTTTCCCATGGAGGTATTGGTATATGGGTTTGAGGTTGGGTTTTCTCTATGGGGGTCTTCTGTGGTTGCATCATGTGGGTATTGGTGTGGGTCTTTGGGTGGGTTTAGGGTTGAGACATACGTTGTTATGCGTTGGGGGCTAGGGGGTTGGGCATGATTAGAAGATGGCAATGGTATCTGCTAACTGTGGCAACGGCACACTGTGTTTGTGAGGCACCTTAGGAGATTCAACAGATAGCACTGCAAACCCTAAGGACAAGAACTCTTGTGATGAGAACCCTTTAGTACAAACCCCAAAGATCTGAGTTCTTATGATGAGGATCTCGCAAGACATACTGATTCCGGATTTTAAGAAGACGCCTAAATTTCAGGACGGTCCACCTACCAGAGCATCCTGGACGGCGTTGATCCTCCGCGGTTGATGGCGGAATCTGGACTACAATCGTGTGCCTAGTAAGTTACGCATCGGCTCCATTGTAGTTCCTCGTTGGGGTTACCTTATAGGATTAAAAGAATATTTTCCACAAAAGGAACTACAATGGAGCCTACGGGTAATCCGTCCCGCCAAGGCAAACTCCCAGATGCATCTGTTCCAGAGACCCAGGTATACTTGAAATTGTAATAGGATCCCCAATATGATGTCAACACTATTCGTTCAGTAAAGGATACTGCTTACAGTTCATCGCATTCGTGATGATTTTTTCACGCGCTTTCCCCGGCACCAGCAGCCCGTGCCGACCACCCACGGTTCGGTCTGGTTGTCCAGCAGGGATACAAAGTACTTGTCGCGATTGTTTCGAGGACCGCCTCAATACTTTTGTGTATGCTCTTCGGCTGGCTCCTCGCATTCATGTATCATTGGTGTGGTTATGAACATTCGATTCTTTACCGAAGCGCGATCCGAAAGAGACACAGCGGCGGTCACGTTGATTCCAGGAAAAACTGAGGTACTGAACTTCGCATGCGCTGGTTTTTCGAAGTCTCCCACGCACGGGTTTAGGAAACCCTCCCTTAAACGCCAGGAAGCTTAAGCCCTGTGTTGAAGGCCTCCTAAACTTTCCTAAGCCCCAAACACCCTCAAGAAGAGGTCTGAAGGTTTTTGACAACCCTCATCCCTCAACCCCAAAACCCCACACCCTTATCCCTATATAAACCCTGAAACCCTACATTTTGGGCTTGCAGTGCACAAGCTGGGAACCGTCTCAGGCTCGCCGCGAGATGCTGTCCTTCCTACCTTCCGGGCCTCTCCGTGTGCTGGAGGTGGGATTCAGAAGGTCTTATGACCAGTTTTTCGATTCGCCCTTGAATAGAGCCCTTATGGCCCTGTATAGAGGGCAGTTGGGAGTTCTAGAAAGACAAACAGGGTTAGGGTTCGGGGTAGTTCTTGGGGTTGTAGAACGCTTTGTAAAGCTGTGTATTGGTTTCATTAAATATTCAGGAATGACAACGGGGTTTCAATAATTGCTACTAGTAGTGGCATTCTCGTATATTCCATGCCCCTGGTATATGCTTGAAGCATTGTGAAAACAGTTCTTTGCTTCAGGAATGTTGAGCTTGACAAAGTGAGGGCCTAAACAACACCATTTGTGAGAAATTTCATGGGATTGGAAAAGGTACCCCGAACTTAGATTCAACTTAAGGCCGCTATATCAATGGTGCACCTAAGTAGACCTGGCGTCAACAATCCTTGCCCTTAAACCGTTGACCTAAAAGGGGTCCATGGCCAAAGTTTTATCTCGAAGAACAATTATAATAGCATTATAGTAGTGAGCCTTGAGAGTGGTGTTGGTAATTAGTTGGGCTTCTATACCAAGCGCTAAGCGGCAAAACCGAGACCTCGACTTTGGGTATTCGATCTCACATTGCACCCGCTGAGTCTGGGACATCGTGACTGCAGGACCTGGATATATAATCCCAGGTTGGAAGTTTGGGCCCCTAATATGGACCTAGACCTTTTTGAGGGGTATCTAAGATGTTCTAGGGACCCTTAAGAGTCTTTATATAGGGTATGTAGTAGGTATATAAGGATCCCAAGGTTAAGGGCCCATACTAGGGGCCCATGGTTTCAACCGGATATATAATTAATTAGAGCAGAGTTCAGGACATGCATAGCCCCTTTACAGAGGGGCTTGGAGGGAGTATGCGCAATCACTTGTTATTCATACATATATGTATATATGTATATATTCTTTACATATACAGACCGACAGACCGACAGAGACAGACCGACAGAGACAGACAGACAGACAGACAGACAGACAGACCGACGGACCGACGGACTGACAAACAGACAAACAGACAAACAGACCAACAGACAGACAGACATGGCACATACATACATACAGACAGGTGGATGGATAGGTAGATAGATACATAGACAGATAGATAGATAGATTCACCTGCACATGTCGTGCCGCTCCGGAAGGTTCGAGGACAAAGGGTGAGGGCCTTTAGTCTTCCGCTTGGAGTCATTTTTGAACTAGGTCATAAGTTTATGCCTTCCCTGAGCTGCAAACAAGCTTTCAGTGTACCCATAGGCCCCATAGTAGTTCCTTTTTGGGATTACATTATAGAATTCTAAATATGAATCCCAAAAAAGGAACTACTTTGGGGCCTTTGGGTAAACCCTATTCTAATCATTATAGTACCCTTACAGATCCCTTATAGTATTCTGTTAAGGAACCCTAAGCCCTAAACCCTAATCCTTAGTCCCTAAACCCTAAACCCTAAGGAACCCTTTAAAGGGAACCCTAGCCTTGCAGATCCCTTATAGTATTCCCTTAAGGAGCCCCTATAAAGGGAACCCCCCAGCTTTCAGTGCAGGTTGGTGTTGGTGTGGAAACCTGGGCCTCCAATCTGCCGCGGCTTGGCAGAGTTGGGGCTTCCCAGGGTTCAAGCTTCAGAGTGGGGTTTCTCTTAGGGTTTAGGGTTCGGGGGTTCAGGGTTTAGGGTTTAGGGGTGTAGGGTTTAGGGTTTGGGGTTTTAGGGTTTAGGGGTTTAGGGTTTGGGGGTTTAGGCTTTAGGGGTTTAGGGTTTAGGGTTTGGGGGGTTTAGGGTTTAGGGGTTTAGGGGTTTAGGGTTTAGGGGTTTACCCAAAGGCACCAAAGCAGTTCTTTTTTGGGTGGTTCATATATAGAATCCCATAGTGTAATCCCAAAAAGGAACTACTATGGGTCCTCGGGGTAGCAAATAGGTTTCAGGTTTAGGGATTAGGGTTCGGGGCGTTCGGCACCTGGACCTGAATGGCTAAGTTACATTGCTGAAACAGCTACGTGGAGTATGGTCTGGAGTATGGTTCCTTTCTGATTCTGATTGATAGATAGGCTGTCGGAGAGTATGGGCAGCTTCCTTGCACAAGGAGCTTTCTGTACTGTCACTAGCAAGTAGTCCTGTTTTTCCAAAACCTCACAACAAAATCTCCAAATCTAAGCCCCAGAGCCGTAAACCCGAAGCGCCAACCCTTTTACCCGAACCCTTGACGCCATATAAATCCCTGAAACGCTAAGCCCAAAAGTTGAATAAAATCCTGGCCCCTGGAACCGCAAAACCCTTGATATAAAAAGCGCTTATAAACCCATTGAGCCCTACACCACCACCACCGAGGTATTCTCCTAGAGCCCCAAACCCTGTAAACTCGAACCTCTCCCTCCTAAAACCGAAACCCTGGAAACCCCCATACCCAAAGTCTCCATGTACCTTTTTATAGTAGTTACTTAAGCCTTCAAGAGGTCTCTATGTAGGTACTTTAAGGCCTAAGTATATACTAGATGGGTACATGGAGCCTCAGGGATACAAACCACCGAGGCTTTATCCTCCCGGAGTTTCACTCGTCGGTCTGGATCCGGAGGCCGCAGAACCATATGGGGTCATAACAAGGGCTTGCCTATGGTCTCCATTGCAGTTCCTTTTTTGGTTAACCAAAGACTATATTATAGGATCCTAACCATAAAATTGGTTAACCAAAAGAAAGAACTACAATGAGGACTTAGGTACCTTAACAAAGCCTGCCATACAAAGTGGAGCTATAGAACTACAATGGGGACTATAGGTAGGGTTTGGTGTCTAGGGTTAGGGTCTTGGATGTTGGTGTGGCTAGAGGCGTCGAGGCTATGGGGCCCTACGGCTGATGGTAAAAACCCTGCATTACCCTAAGGACCCTAAACTATGGGTCATGCAGGACTTATATCATCAACCCTATGTAGGGGTCGGAATAAATCGCAATACTAATTCCACAAAGTCCTTGTGTAAATGCATCATCATATACCCCACAAGGCCTGTTCGAATCATGAAGACAAAAAGATGGGGGCTCTGGGTTTCGGGTTCGGACTCCGACCTTTTTTGGGTTTTTTGGTGCCTTTCGACTCAAAGGCTGCAGGGTGTGACGGTTTATGACTCGACGGAGTCTGAGAACATGGGGAAACTAGCCGCAAGGGTCCTTTATTCTGTACACGGGTTGTGGGCAGCAGCTACAGCTACCGTTGGAGGTTAGTACCATAGTGATGATTATATTAGTGTTAGGTACGTGGACACTTCGGGGAATGTAGAAGCCCAGCAAACAGGATCCTCATGAGAAGGACCCCTGAGGCAGGTGCCCCTACGTTTATCCCTCCATGTCTTGTTGGGTTTTGTGCTGTGCATTCAGAAAGCTAGCAGATGCAGCAGCATCAGCAGCCACCGGGGTGAACAGAGCCAGAGAGAAGGGCATCATGTAGAAGCCCGAATAGTTACCTGGTTATTATTGCCTGGGGCTCCTTAGTGCAATTAGTTATGCTACAAAGGGGCCCAAAACCCTATGCTAATCATTATGGCCCCGATATCAGTGTGGCTTCTGTGGAAGTCGTGCCTGGGGCCTATAGGGGTTTTAGTAGCTGCTTGGCTAGTCGTCTTCCCCATGCGACTTTCAGCACCGGTACAGCATGCTAAATCTTACCATGTGAGCATGATATGGGAGTTTCCGAAAATTAGGGGTAACTTGTTTCGGGGTCCTTTATAGTAATCAGGATCCTACTATCTGGGGTACTATATTTATATTGGGGTCCCCCGCTTTCGGAAACCCCCATATACCGATTTGGTACCGCCGGCTTATTCCTGTTCCGAACATGAACATAGCGGTTTTCCCGGGCACTTATACTGTGTTGTAGAACGAGACATGCATCCACTCAGTTCTACCCCGGATACACAGACCAGGACAGCAAGAAATGAGAACACAACTGATGATAGAGGCAGATAATAGTTCGTAACGCAGAGAATTTTGTGGACCTCCAAAGCTGGATATCTCTTGGGCCTAAGACTGTTGCTTGGCATCGCAATGTTGAAGCCCTTGGCCCTGAAATCTTGCGCCGGGCCTGTCATGCCAATAGTCTGTCAGATTTCTCGAAATATGTTTCGGTAGCTGCAACATCGCCGACCGGTCGACGATCTGTTCTCGATGTATTCACGGTCCCTGCACATGTGTAGGTGCTGCGAATTAAGCAAAAGGCTGTCATTTCCGTTGAGGCCTGACTGCACTGCCTTGAGCTTGGGTTCGGAGCCAATCTCACTTGACCTGGTTCTGCTGCAAAGCCCAAGTAGAATGAATGTTTCTTAATCCATACATAGGGTTCCAAAGGCAGTGCCGCACTCCATGCCCTAAGCCCTAACCCCTAAGCCCTAAACCCTAAACCCTAAACCCAAAGCAAACCCTAAACCCTAAAGCCTAACATAACCCTAAACCCTAAACCCTAAAGCCAAAGCAAGCCCTAAACCCTAAACCCCAAAGCTGCAGGTGTCCGCAGACGCTACGTGGCCAAAGAAGCCTCGAGGCTTTCCCCAGTGTTCCAACGCCCGAGGGTGCGGCTGGCTGTTCGGAGAGGTTTAGGGTTTACCTGGACCCGAAGGAACCTACCTTTTTTAGGGCCCCCTAATATGATTTCTTTATATAAGTCCCGAAAAAGGTAGGTTATTTGGGGTTAAGGTCTGGGTTTAGGGGCCTAGGGGTTTAGGGTTTAGGGAAACCCGATAGACCTAAACTCTGAACGCTAAACCCATCAAAAGCCAGATGAACTTCAAACCCCCAAAAAAATCAAACCCTATGTAAACCCTATCAAGCGCCCCATTCGCTTTAGCAACAAACATCTAAACCCTAAAGCCCTAAACCCTAAGTCAAACCTTAAGCCGCCAACTAAAGGCTCCTTCCAGAAGAGGAACCTTTAGTTTAGCCATTGCAAAGGGCTCGTGAGAGTTTCGGGCTCTTGGCAAGTGTTTAGGGTTTAGGTTTTCGGGGTTTTTGGAATTGGGACTTTGAGGTTATGTTTCAGGATATAGCAGGGTTGTGCTATCGCCACCGCACCTCGGAAATCTAGGCAAAAGCCCAAACCCCAAACCCTTAAATGCTAAACCCCAAACCCTTGAATCCTCTAAACCCTCTAAACCCCGAAACCCTAAACCGTAAAAACCCCGAAACCCTAAACCCTAAAGCCTTCAACCCCTAAACCCTTGAACCCTAAACCTTAAAGCATTAACCCCTCTAAAGCCCTTTAAGCACGAAAGCCTAAAGCCCCAAAGCTTAAAGCCCTAAACCCTTAAAAAAAAAAAACTTAAACCTTAAAGCCTTGAACCCTCTAAAGACCTTTAAACATCTAATATAGTATCCTTCTAGATCCCTGATAGGATCCCCTTAAGGAACTCTTTAAGGGGAGCCCTAGCTTTTGGGGCCTTTGGGTAATGCCCTAAACCCCTCGGAGGCCTGGACTTTCAAGCAGTCCGCGGTTGGGCGGAGGCTGGCAGAGGAGTTTAGGGTTAGGGGTCGAGCGGTTTAATTAGGATTTAAGGGTTTAGGGGTTTAGGGGGTTTAGGGTTTAGGGGCTTAGGGTTTAGCGGCTTAGGGTTTAGCGGCTTAGGGTTTAGGGGTTTAGGGTTTAAAGGTTTAGGATTTAGGCGTTTAGGATTTTAGGGTTTAGGGGTTTAGGGTTTTGGGTTTAGGCTTACAGCAACAAGCATGCGCGACCTGGACATTTAGGGTTTAAGGTTTTGAGTTTACCCTGAAAAACCCTAACCGTCAACCGTAAACCCTATAGACCCCTTTGGGTCCACATGGTCCTTCTTCATGGCTTTCGGTACCCAAAAGGGCCCCAAAGGCCTATGACACGGAGTACTTGGACCCTTAGGGACAAACATGCGCAAGCAGGGACGCATGGCTTGGGGTTTTAGGGTTGATGGGGTTAGGGTTGGGGGTTTCGGGGCAAACAGGGGTGTATAGCTTGTGCTTTTGGATTTTGAGGGTTTGGGGGTTCAGGGCTGCGTGTTTAAGGTTAAGATTACTTGTGCCGTTTAACGACGGAACAGCCCTCCGATAGTTGATGTGCACATCTGCCGTTTTGAAGGGACCTCGGTTGCCCACACACGGCGTCGGGCATCCAATGTGTTGCACGAAGATCACGGGTTCTAAACATTCGAGATGCCCTTACTCAGCTCTATATTGAGGTTTTTGCTTTCCTGAAACCGTCATGCTTGAAGTCTCGGGCCTATGTCAACAGAAACCCTCAGCCCTATAAGTCTTGACTAGGCCACTCAAGCCCCTAAACCTTAAACCCCCAAAGCCTTGACAGAGCAAAGATTGCGATTCTGCCGTGCATTTGCCGGGGTCCGAGTTGTCAGAGACTTCTCTTGAGGGTCCAGTCGGTGCAGGGCTGAGGCGCATTAGTAATTACAGCGGGGTTTTGGGACTTACTACAGCATATTCACAAAAAGCGTGCGTGGGGATAGTACAGCTTGGTTGGGAGTCATGAGTCCAGCTGTAGCGGTAGTGTCAGAGAGCTCAAAGCCCGAAACTCCGAAACCTTAGAGTAGAAGCCAGAAAGTTGGAACCTTATTATCCTAATGTCCCAAGGTAAAGTAGAGGGAATCCTAGCGCTACTCATCCTAAACCCATGTTCCAACTTCTGGGGTTCACTCTACATCTAGAGAATCAGACCTTTCCAAAGAGACGGGCTGCAGACTTCCTGTGCAGCACCGTACCACTGTAAACCCTAAACCGCTTTTTAGGGCCCTTTCTGCGAGGGTGCCGCCTGCTTGTGGGTTTCACGGCATGTCTTCATGGAAGCAACCTGCTGCCTAAAGCAGCCTGCTACAAGTCGAACCCTACCCCCCCGGCACCCTAAACTCCCGAAATGAGCCCTATCTGTTGAATAGGGAGGTACCCTAAATTATAAACCCTAAACTCTAAACTCCCTAAATATACCGGATCTGCTGGTCGAAAAAGGGGCGCTTAAAAAAAAAACTCCCTAAATAAGCCCCATCTGTTGAATAGGGGGGGGGGGGTGGTCTCGGGATTTTGGAGGCCTTGCCCTTCGCCGACAACAGTTTTGATGCTGTGGTGCCTTGACATGCATTGCTCAGAAGGGGCCCCCAGCCTGTAATAGTGGTATAATAGGAATATAATAGGGCCCTAGTATAATTCTTATAGAAGGGGCCCTCACCCTGTAATAGTGGTATAATACTTGGAGGGTCGGGGGACTTAGTAACTGGTTATTTTAGGGATTTCTAAGTACCATAACCCCAATTAGGGTCCCTTTTAGGGTACTTATAAGTCTACTTACTAACTGCTTACTAAGTCCCCCGACCCCCCAAGTAGGAATATAATAGGGCCCTAATATACTTCTTATAGTCACTATTACAGGGTGGGGGCAGCTTCTAATGCATTGCTCTTGACTCTCTTGTAAAGAACAGAGCTGAACCGTGGTTTTTGGTGATTCTACACAGGGCTGCCCAGGGTCACTATTATTGGTAGGTGCAAACTGAAACCGTCATGTTCGAGATATTGGCCGAGTGCCTTATCTCATATGGTCATGGCCGCCATGGCCCGTGTTCAAGTCAATGCTTGTTGGCCTCTGCTTAAGCCTTGAGGACTTGTTCAGGCTTCAGATTGTCTGTTCTTGGTTCTCATGATCTGTCGATGCTTTGTCTAAGCCTTGTAGAACGTGTATAGAAGTCCTCCCAATACTCAGGAAGCCCGGCTTCCGACACAACACGGACAACATGAAACATGCGTTCGTAAAGTCTAGTTTCCCAGCCTTAAACCCTGCCCTGAACCTTACCTTAAACTACCATAATATTTGTTGTAAGCTATTACTATAAACCCTAATTTGAATTTGCAAGGACCCTACAAAAATGCAGCTCTCGATCTGAGGTCGCCTCACTTGTGCTTTGCAGCGTCAGGGAGCCAGACACGGCACTTAGAGAGACTGGGACTATCACGGGACTAGAGGTGTGGTGTCAAGATTCGGCCTTCAGGTCTTACAGGGTTTAGGGTTTACGGGTTAGAGTTTAGGACTTAGAGTTTAGGGTTTAGGGTTTAGGGTTTAGATTGTGTTCACGTCAGGTTACCGATTCGGACGAAACCTGAAGGTTTACGAGGTTTTCGACCGTCTGAACGTTCGGTAGCTGTGTTGCTGACGGTATTATGAGCCCTTCCAGGAAACCCTGCACCTAACCAGTCAAAAATTACGGCTCGGGGGTCGTGGCTGCGAGTTGCGGGGGTTACGCATCACAGATTTCCCGACTGCGCGCTTCAAGTCTCCCCCCTCCCAAAGTTTAAGACTCAAAAACCCCGTACAGCAGACCTTGCAGTGATCCTACCCATAGGCCCCATAGTAGTTCCTTTTTGGGATTACCTTATCGAATTCTAAATATGAACCCCAAAAAGGAACTACTTTGGGGCCTTTGGGTAGGTAAACTCTTAAAATCAGCAAATACCTTGTAGCCCTTTTAGCCGGTAGTGGGCCGATAGGGCGCCGTACTACCTACCAGTTTTCCTTGTCGGGCGCAAAGGGTCCTATGTACCGATATAGTAGAATGTAGGGCTTCCATATGAGGAATTACTATTATGACTTAGGGAAGTATCCCCCATAACAGTACATAGGACCGTTTGGGGGATGATTCCAAGGGGTTGGAGTGTGGGCGCAATGACCTTGGTTCTGACATGTTCTGACGGTGACAATGCCGAAAGCACTGGTATTTACAGCGTGTTGTCATCTCACACAACATACTGCAGAAGATGTTTGACGTGACACGTTGTCACACGTGCTAATGCTTTGCGGGAGCATGCCCCAACCACATGGTATTCACGGCGTTTCCCCAAAGAGCACGGCACTGTAACATACCGCAGAAGGATGTTTGACATCTCCGCTTGGGGGGTCGGGGGACTTATTAAGTAGATAGTATGTGGTCTTATATAGTACCCTAAAAGGGACCCTAATTGGGGTTATGGTACTTATAAGTCCCTAAAATAACCAGTTACTAAGTCCCCCGACCCTCCAAGCGGACCCCACATCCTGAACCATGGGCAGGCCAAACACCGGGCCGAAACTCATTGACACAGGGGTCGGAATGGTAAGTTATTCTGTTACCTAGGTTCCGTAAAACTATAGTATTATATAGCCCCATGATCCCAAAACCCTATGCTAACCTTTAAGCCGCCGACAGATCAAGACATAGAGATCCTTCCAGTTGAGCCGTTCTCCACTGCGAACGCTTAGGTGTAAACGCTACTACCTGCAAGGTGCCTAGGTTTATTCCCTACGGCTGCGGGCACGATCTTTCTACTAAGCTACCCTAGTTTATGGGAACTACGGCAGTGAACATGCAGGAGTGTCCAAGAAGCGAATCCCCAAGCCCTGCACACCAAAATCCTCTTTTCAGGTCCCCAAACCTTCCGCCCAAAGATGTGTTTCTCGACCAGGAAATCGCGCGAGTATTGAAGCCAGGAGGCAACATGGGAGATTCGAGCCCGCGGGGTAGAGATCGTGTAGATGATGTCACATATCGTCATACGGTAAATTATTGACAGTATTATGGTGTTGATCACTGTTTTTGTCGCTACCACTACTACTACTACTACTACTACTACTACTACTACTACTACTACTACTACTACTACTACTACTACTACTACTACTCCTACTGCTACTGCTACTGCTACTGCTACTGCTACTACTACTACTACTACGACGACTACTACTACTACTGCTGCTACTGCTACGACTACGACTACGACTACTACTACTACTACTACTACTACTACTACTGCTGCTACTACTACTGCTACTACTACTACTGCTCCTGCTACTACTACTACTACTACTACTGCTACTACTACGACTACGACTGCGACTACGACTACGACTACGACTTCGACTACTACTACTACTACTACTACTACTACTACTACTGCTATCATTTTTGTTACCATTAGGGTTACTGTTACAAGTTACTATCAAATGTCTTTATCAGTCACATTTCCATTCACCAACGTCGTTATCATCACGGTCAGTGTTTATTCTTGCTGTTGTTTATTGCTATTGTCGATGTTAGTCTAGCTGCTAGTGTTACTGGTACTGGTGTTGACATGGCTATTGATAGCACTGGTGGTCTGGTTCTGGTCACGATTATTGCTACGAGTATCGTTCTCATGATTCTTATGTCTTATGGTACCATTGTTAGTTTTACCATTACTGTTGATATGACTGTTATGGTTGTTAATGGTCACTTCTATGGTTATGCTGGTGATGTGAATATGATTATACTTGTTATTGCCATACGGAACTATGCGTATATCTCATATGATGTCATTGCATATGCGGTTTTGGCGCTGCCCCGTATACACGGTAATTAATTTACAGATTTGGACAGAGAAACGGTGTATGTAGCTGGATAGCCCTAGACCCAACCCTGTAAACCTCCCTGTCAGACAAGGTCGCTACCTCTTTCTGGAGCACATCCGTGCACCGACCGGCTCGGCACTTCGATGGCAACAGGAGGCAGGGTTACTGGGGTTCGTTACAAATCGCTTTCACAAGGACAGCTCTATCTCATGAGTGCTTCTGAGGTGCTAGTGTTCTGGCAGCAGGTGTTGGCGGTTAGGCAGCTGAGAACCCCTGTCCTTAGCACGGCTGAAGAATCTGAGAACAAGGGGGGGTACATCCGAAAGCCTGAACACCCAAGTCCGGGCGCAGCCATGAGCCGCCCTAGAATTACCCTTTACCAGGGGACAAGAGTGAGGGTTTCGGTTTTCTATGAGGTCGTGGAAGATATTCAGATGCAGATGCCGGTGTCGAGTCCTGGGATATAGGGAGTCAGCGCCATCGGGTTTTTGTGTATTCAGGTGCCCTTGCTGAGTAGCTAGCTCGCTCGTGGTTTGTGTGGGAAGTCCCTTATTGCCCCTCTATAGTCATAGATGCCGTGACCTGAGACTTTCTCCATTAAAATCCTTCAGTTTCGTATAAACCCCGACCTTGAACCCCAAACCCTAAAACCTGTAAACGTCCCTAAACCCCAAGCCCTGCGTCCTAAAACTATTGACTGGGCTCCTGGCTTCCGCTGTTCGAGTTGGGTGCATGGTGCTGCCAGGTGCTACATCCTTTGCATGCTTTTTGCTGTAACGGCTGCCGCCTGACCAGGCAACTTGTCTGAGGCATACACAAAAACACACACACACACACAAACATCTAAAGTCTATATACACACGTGAATACATAAAATCTATATCTTTATGTATGTACCATGTGTACTTACATAAACAGTATACAGATATACTTGTGGGTATCTATATATCTATCTCTTTCTTTCGGCCATTGCGTTCATGAACTCGTGGTGTTGGCATAGCCTCTACGAAACTCTCTCCAGCATGTTCTCGTCCTGTTTAGCTGGCCATTTTCATGGATTGCCGTCCTGTAATGCAGTAGAGGCTAGCCAGACAAATAACTGCATTGAGCAGTATGGGCAGGCTCTGCACTGTGCAGTAAGGGTCAGCGAACACATAAGCTAAACACTGGCCTTGTAACACTACTCTTGACACTTGTCTACCTTTTCTGTGGGTTCGAGGCGCTTGAAGTTTAGAGGGTTTACGAGAACAGTATTCTGGAGGCGAGAGTATTGGGTTTCGCGGAGTCACAAGGCTTATGTCAGGGTTTAGGGATGTTTAGGGACGGACAGTGGTGCCAGTTCACTGAACACGGTGGTTTTGCAACAACAGAGGCCGGACGCCTGACCTCAACAAGGCCCTAAACTATAGCCTCCTTAGCAGTTTTTTGTTTTTGTTCGTTTAATGCCCCAGAGAATATTGAACCCATTAGTTTCATTTTGGTTCTAAGGGGGGTATAGTAAAGACCATCTGATACAAGCAGACCGGCATCATGTGCCATTGTTTATACTGGTATCGGTTTTGTATATGCTCAACAGGGAAAATGACCACTTCACAATTCAACTTTCTTGGAATCCGCCCAAATAGGGCCGTCATATGCCCCACAGATAGGATCCTTCGGGTGGGAGTTCCAAAACAACATCTGAAGATGGGCCTCTCGTGACATAGAGACATTGTCACACACCTTCATACATTCTTGAGGATGTCCCAACCCTAAGGGCCTATGTACCCAAATAGTATATACCTTGGCCTCAAACTCCTCCCTCTACAGGTGCATTGGGCCCTAATATACTGTTTGAGTACACGGACATCGACCCTTAGGGCAACTTTATGCGCAGCATAACCCCAATGCAAGGCAGCAGGATCGTTCAATCCTTCGTGCCCACTCCGAGCAGCTCTTTACGGCTGTTCCTGTACTGCCGCTCAGATTGACTAGTTTAGACGTCCGAAGAATTACCAACACTATTCTCGGGGTTCCTTACAACAAGTATACTATGATTTGCCTGCAAACCCCATTCTAATTGTTTAGGTTCTTTGAGCTATCCAGCCAAGCTGTACCAAGCGACTGCAAGCGTCAGAATCATAGTGCTGCAACAGAAAAGCGCAACAGCCCAACTGCCTGAGCTCGCATCTTAAGTGTCTCTCAGCGACCTTCCAGCAAGTATGTCCCATCCTGCAGGCTAGTGGTATTGGGGTTGAAGCATTGGCCGCTACAACTGACGACGACGACCAGTGCCGCTGCTGCTGCCAACTAACTTCCTCACCCACCCACTTACTGACTGGCTGACTGAGTAGCCAGCGAAAGGCCAATCAAAGCAGTACTACTTACTACTAATAATGCGACAACAGCAACTACTACAACTACTTCCGCTACTACCTGCTATACAACAGACGACGAAGACGGCGACCGCCACCCCAGCTGTTGCCGTAAGTTACTACAAGGGGCAACCCTTGGCCACGGCTGGCACCGGTCTTACCAATGCTATTCTGCATGGTCCTGCCCGAGTTTCCCACGGTTGATGTTACAGCTTTCGTGGCTTATGCCCTTATTCCCTGAACCCTGAACCCTAGAAGGGTCTCTCTGGAGTATGTAGTGAAAGGCTTCCAGCAGCTGAGGAAGCATTACCTGTGCCATGGCGATTGGCCATGCACCACTCAGATCGTTGGTTATGCGGTCGCGTGAGGTGAGAGATGCCAAGGGTTCAGGATTTCTGGAGTGCCGTTGAACAGCACACCTGTTTCTTAAATTAGGGTTTAGAGGTTTCTTAGAGTCTTAAGATTGATTAATTGTAGACTACGATAGCAGGTACCCACAGTCGTGCTGACATCGAGGTACTCCAGATCCCGGCCCCTTGCGGTTCCCGCCAAGTAATCCGCGTCTTGTGATTGCGGCCTGACTACTGAAAGGTGAAATAGGCAGTGCCCTCCTGTATTCGACTTGTGAGGGGATGGAGATACCCTACCTATAGTCTCCATTGTAGTTCCTTTTTTTGGTTAAACCAGTTTTGGTTAAACCAGTTTTATAGTTAGGACCCTATAAGGTAACACAAAAAAGGAGCTACAATGTAGACTATACGTAGCATCTTGGGCAAGTTCGTTTTCGGAGTACTTGCATGCAGCACTGTGCCCGAAGCCCTCGATGTCCGTATCGTATCCTTTCAGGAACTTTGGTGCCCTTGTTCGGCACGCAGTCTCATGAGAAAGCGAATCTTATACCCCAAAGGGTCCTATGTACCGATATAGTAGAATGTAGGGGTTCCATATGAGGAATTACATTATGACTTAGGGAAGTATCCCCCATAACAGTACATAGGACCCTTTGGGTACGGAGGCTCCAGCCCGAAAACTTGCTCGGTATGTTCCTTTTCAGCTGCACGACGGGATTCTTGGGTTCGGGGTTCCGGGGTTCTCCTGGAATAGCCGCATGTTGCTGGTTAGACTGCACAGTAGCGGCCTTGCTTGGATAGTTCGGTGCTGTGGATCTCCGTTCAGTAGCAGATGGTCGCCTTCCTCCGCAGCAGCAGATGACCTTTGTACGGCAATTACTTGAAGGATCATGGGACTTAGTAAGTAGGTTATAATTGGGGTTATAAGTCCCCTAAGTGGGGTTATCCTAATTATAACCTACTTATAACCTTACTTACTAAGTCCCATGAGCCTTTAAGTAAGCCTGGCGCAAGGGAAAAAAGCGGCCAGGGTGGGTCTTCGCTTCAGAGCCTGGCGGTCTCTAGTTTCCTGTGCAACTCTCTGCCCAGATTCCGTGCTTGTCCCTCAAAGTAAAACGAGGTCCTACTTGGGGGGTCAGGGGACTTAGTAAGTAGTTAGTTAGTAGACTTATAAGTACCCTAAAAGGGACCCTAATTGGGGTTATGGTACTTATAAGTCCCTAAAATAACCAGTTACGTCCCCCGACCCTCCAAGTATGTTGTTGTTCTGCTTTTCGGCGGAGTCTGAAGAATCAGCAAATTTAACTGTCATGGTCACCATGGCAGACAAGTAAATATCCCGAAATGCACCCGTGCAACCCCTGAAGCTTGTCTCAGTTTGGGTGTGGCCGGGTATGGCTTGATGCTTCAACAAGACATCTGAAGGGAGTATGTGCCTTTGGGCCAGATCAAATGGCAAACAAGTCCTTTCATCAATGGCAGTGGTGGACGGTCGAAGGTTTTTGCTGTGATCCGATTGATTAGTTGATGGTTTTGTTGTTATTTTCTGAGTCCGGTTCTCATCTCGGCCTCCGTCCATGCAAATTCGATCCAATCCCCATCATTAGTTTGCGTTGTCAATGTTGCATCTGAATCTGGTTCCGCAGTGCCTCAGTAGTTCAGTGGCTGCTTCCAATATCCAAGGCTACCGTGGAAAGGATCTGCTAACTAGTTAATCTAGTACCTAACGATGCGAGGCGCTGGAACGCCTGGCAGCCGAGAATGCGGCCAAGGCTCCATGGGCAACGGGACTCGCCCGTCTTAGACGACAATCCCCAGGCCCCTTCAATCCTGCTTTCAAAGTCAGGAACCCAGCCTTGAAACTATAAGCCCAAAGCGACACAGCCTTTCGGCTTTGCAAGGTTTCTGCAGACCACCCTAAAACCCCTACAGCTCTACAGAAACATGACATAGACTACAGTGAACTGCTTCAGGAACCTGGCCAAATCCCGCATAAAGCCCATCTACATCCCCTTGGGACTTCCCTCAAAATCCATATAACTCAGAACCCCTTCAACCCCAAACCCTAACCCCTGACCTACCTAAAACCCTAAGCCCGAAACCCCTGAACCCTGAAGCCTGAACCCCAAACCCTAAACCCTAAACCCTAAACCCTAAACCCCAAAAACCCTTCACCTTAAACCTTGACATGGAAATCCGAAACCCTGAGCCCTAAGTTCGAAAGAACGTCCTAAGCCGTAAGTTCAGCTCCTGAACCCTAAGCTCCTACACCCCAGGTCAGAAGTTATCCTGACATTTTTCCTAAGAAGCTAAGCCCTGAACCATAGATGCTACAGCACTAAAAACCCAAATACTAAAACACTACGGCTGATGATCTAAATCCTGCATTTCCCATAATAAGGAATATATATCATAAGTCCCATAGTTTAGGGTCCTTAAGGTAATGCAGGATTTATATCATCAACAACCCTAACCCCTAAACCCTAAACCCCCCTATAGATCCCTTAAAGGAGCCCTTTAAAGGTACCCCTTATAGATCCCTTTAAGGTCTTGCAGGATTTGTATCATCAACAGTAAGACCCCAGGTTCCTAGACCCCAGGTTCCTAAATCCTAAGTTCCTATAGGGTTTAGGGTTTAGGGTTTATAGGGTTTAAGGGTTTAGGGTTTGTAGGGTTTAGAGGTTTAGGGTTTAGGGGTAGAAGCCAGAAAGTTGGAATATCATTATATCGTAACCCCTTTAAGGTGAATTATAGGGGATCCCACCATTAATCCATATCCCAACTTTCTGGAGTTCCCTTTAAAGGTCCTAAACCCTGCACCCCCAAACCTTTCGATCAGGTAGAGGCCTCCCAAGAACGGGAAGCCTCGGATGCCGCAAGGCGCAAGCGCATGGCGGCCGAAATTAAGGCCACAGGGGTTTAGGGGTTCAGGACTTTAGGGTTTATAGGGCTTCTAGGGTTTCTAGGGTTTACTTGAACCCTGAATAACCTACCTTTCTAAGGTTCCTTATTATGATTTCTTTATATAGGTCCTGAAAAAGGTAGGGTATTCCGGGTTAAGGAAGGGTTACGTAAGGGATGTTAAGGGCTTCCGCGTCTTGGAAGCCCTCGACTGCAAATGCTTTCAGGGCCCAGGGCCTAGAGTCAGCGGTAGCAGTAGAGCAGTAGCAGTAGCAGTAGGGGTGGGAGTAGTAGTAGTAGTAGTAGTAGTAGTAGTAGTAGTAGTAGTAGTAGTAGTAGTAGTAGTAGTAGTAGCAATAGCAGTAGCAGTAGCAGTATGTCATCTTGTGCCCTAAGATATCCTCAACCTCTAGGTATTTTGTGGTTACCCCGAACTTGGCACCCTAGACTCTCGCATGAAAGCCGTAGATCCTGAACCCACAGATCTGAGCTCTAAACCAGAAAAAAGTCGAACAGAATAATACCCTAGACCCTTACCCCCAAGCATAAAAGCTCAAACTCTTTACACCTTACACTCGGCGATGTACACTTAGCCATCAATTCTACACCCCAGCCTGAATCCTAACCGCTACGTCCTCTTTGCCTCCAAGGCTTTGGAGGCAAAAGACAGTGCCCAGAAATCGGAGGACGAATCGTCGAGGCAAGACATGTTTACTATGATTGTATTCACAGTTTTGCGGCTGTTCTCGTTATAATTGGCAGCCGCTGTTATTCTGCGCTTTGCTAGCTTTTGCTCAATACAATACTTACTCTTATCGGTATTGCTATGTGTTCCTCGCGTTTCTGAAACTTATCTGAACATTGATAGCTCTTTGTTGCACGCGTGTTCGGAGAGCCGATACTCGGTATCCAGCATGCAGGGACTCGGGCGTTGAGTATGTTCGGGTTGGGGCAACCCCCTGTTTACAGAAAACCCCTTCCCCTCCCTCGTGGTAATTGCTAGTGTAGCCCTCAAGCCTTCGCCACGTTGCTTTGTCGCATGGGGCCGTGCGAAAGGTGAACACATATGGTACCGGATCATCCATCCATCCATCCATCCATCCATATGTAACCCCTGTTTCTGGAATGGCAGCTAACTCAACGCACAACCTGAGCTGAACATCTCTAGAAGTCCTCCTGCGCATGATTTCATGCATGACGGGGATGGCTTCCCGCCCAAGCTTCAGCTGTTTCCACGTTTGCTGAAAGATTAGAACTCCTTGAGCCTCCAGAGTTCAGAGTTCCTTAGTTTTTGTTGATGTGTCCAGGAGCGCAGCTTAAGCTCCAGTCATCGCCATGTTACATGCATCCAACAGCGTGTGAGTGTGGATATTTCTGAGGATAAAGATGAAGCTGCTTCTACTGACTAGGTTTTTTCTCGAAAACCTGCTGGCGTAACGATAGCACCAACTGAAAAACATGCCCCCCTTTTTCTGCCCAAACCCTAAACCCTAAACCCTATAAACCCTAACCGTCCCCCGGCCCTAAAGCCTCTTCGCCACTGAGCGGCCTCGCAGGCGCCGCGTTGAGAAGCTGAAGGCCTTGGACCCGCTGACTCCTGTGACGACCTTCAGCGTGCTAGCAGTTGTAGCAGCCGTCGCCGTCGTCGTAGTAGTAGTAGTAGCAGTAGTAGTAGTAGTAGTAGTAGTAGTAGTAGTAGTAATAATAATAATAGTCATAAGAATGGTAGTAGTCGTCGTCGTCGTTGTCGTAGCAGGAAAACTAGTAGCAGCAGCAGTCGAATAAGCAGAAGAAGAGAGGAGGAGACCGGTAGTACGATGCGTGGTGGGGAGGACGAGAAAGAGCAGCAGTAGAGCAGCAGGAGTAGCGAAGCGTGTCACGCATGTCCTTTACAAAAGCAGCTACCGGATATACCCCGACAAGTGGTACGAGAACGAGGAGCGAAATTAGAACAACAACAACGCGTTGACAACCATTCACACAAGCCACTACCACGGCTGCAACCAACAGCGCCAACCACAGCAACTTTACGACAATGACTATGAGGCTTACTAGTCATGGGCGATGATGGAAGTGACAACTACCAACGTGTGCAGCTTTTGCTCTTGCTGCTACT